CCACAGCGTCCGCACCCCGCGACCGCACCCCGCATCCGCATGCTCACGCGCGATCCTTCCCAGGACCGGGGGGCTGGGTGCAGGACCGGCGTCCCCTCTCCCTGCCCCCATCTCCTCCCTTCTTCCCCCCCCCCCCGTGTCCATTCATTCATCCATCAGGGTGCAGTGGGCTGGCACGCCAGCCGGGATCCCAGCAGCCCCTTTGAATGAAGTGGAAACGCCCGGGAATCGAACCTGCAGCCCCCACGAGGCAGCTGCGGACGAATTCCCCTCCGGACGTGTGCGCCGCCCGCCCCGCGCCTCCCGGCTTCCAACCACTCCGGCTCCCCGAAGCTGGGCACCAAGCGGCTTCCCCAAGCCCTCATCGTGGGCGTGAAGAAGGGGGGCACGCGAGCGGTGCTGGAGTTTATCCGCGTGCACCCCGACGTGCGGGCCCTGGGTACCGAGCCCCACTTTTTCGACAGGAACTACGGCCGCGGGCTGGACTGGTACAGGTAAAGATTGGGGTTCCTCTTCCTCGGGGTGCTGGGGGTGGGTGGGGGGAACCACGTTCCCTCTCTCTGGGGCTCGCTGGGTGGGTTCAATCAGACACGTGCCAGAATTGGGGAGCCCGGAGCCTTGTAGCAGAAAGACCTACCAGGAACTTCCCGGGGATTCTGAACAAGGGGGGGGGGTGTCTTTCTTGCCTAGAAGTCTCTGGAAGGGAAAGGAGATTCCCCTCCCCTCCCCCCCGCCCAGGGTTCAGTAAATGCATCTTCTGGTCACAGTCGGCCTCTCTCTGGGTAGACCTCTGCTGATCTCTTACACCCCCAAAGACCCAGAGGAGGAATTAGGAGCCTCTTGGGGTGAGGCTGGGCTTGGGAGAGTCCCCCGCCCAACAACTCAGGTAGCCAGAAAGGGAATGAGAAAGTCTTGGAGAGTCTCCTTCCCAGCCTAAGATATTTGGTGCTTTCTTGAAGTCGCCTCCCCCTCTCGCTCTAACCAAATCTGGATGCTGATCTTCGGAGGATGGTGAGCATCCCAGCTTCTAGTCTTGACTCTCTCCCTTGGCTTGAGCCCACCCAGCCCTCCCGGCCTCTCCTCATGGGTGCCCAGGGCCAATGCCAACCCTTGCCTCATCACCCCCAGGCATTGCAAGGCACTTTGGAAGTAGCCAGGGGACATTTAGCACTGGGGTTTTGTGTTTCCAAATCAGCAGCCCCAAACTTGGGACTACAGGAAGGCACTCAGGTGCTCAAGACTGGCCAGGGTCCTAGAAGCGATCTGACATACTCACACACCTCCTTGGCACCTCCAGGGACAAGTTTTTTGCAAGGGCAGGTGGAAAGGGTACGCAGAGCTAATAATGCATGGTGGCACCCTCGCTTTCCAGTGCCCACCCGCTTCCTGCCACCCCATGTGATGTGAAAGCACAAGACTGGGGGATCATAGCGTTCTCACCATCGCCCTCGAAGGGGGAGATGACCGTTCTGCATCATGGAGCTGAGGAGGGGGTGCCATGATCATTGACATGGAAGGGGAGGATCACAGGGCCCACCTGTCATTTTTGCCAGCTAGCGCTGGCCAGCAGTGGCTGTAGGGGTGACACTGTCAACGGGGGGGGGGACACTGTCTCCAAGAGGCTTGCACACAGTCTGTGTGTAGCAGAGCCAGGCAGCCGGAGAGCCAGCCTGTGGATGGTCCCAGACTTCATGAAGTCTGGTTAGGGGAGCAGAGAGCCGCACCGTGGCCGAGGTGGCTATGGGCCAATGCCGTCATCCCACTGTGATTTCTGGTGCCCGCATGGTGGTGTAGAAGGGCAGGGTCTGAGGCTAGCCCAGGGCCAGGGCAGAGGCAGAGATGTCCTGCCTGAGAACACACGCTCTACTGCACACCAAGGATTCCTCAATGGAGGAAAAATTGAGGATCATTATGAAATCGTGTGCCACTGACAAATGCCTTTAGAGTGCAAAATAGCCCAAGTCTGAGCATCTGGCTTGGAGGTAATAAACACCTCGAGTCTGAAACCAGTCTCTCCTTCCCTTTTCCTCCCTTTCACCACCAAAAAAGCCTACCTCAAGCCTTCCTTCCTGTGCCATTCAGAGATGGCTGCTTTTTATTTTTAACCTTGGCATGTGTGATGCTAAGCCAGCTTAGCTGTGAACCTTAGAGATGGAAGCCATACTCCCCCCCCCCCCCCCCCTTCTCTCTCCTAGCACATTTGGATTCTGCTAAAATTCTCAGCTGAGTCTTGGTAGGTTTTAGGTTTTATTTAACATCAAGCACACTGACAGCTCTACTTCTCTCCTCTCTCCTCCCCCCTCCCCTGCCCCATCACCCTTTCCTCCTGGATATTTCTGGAAGAAAGATGAACCCACAGGCCTGGCTATTCCCCAGCCCTTGCCCAGCAAGGCTGAGGACCCTGCAGCTGCCAACCAGGTTGTGAACCTTGTGCCTTACAAACAAATAAACAAATAAAAACATTATTAATGGAAATCCACAGTGCAGTGTGTGTATGGGGGGGTGGGGGAGGTCTCATCTGTGGATTGTGGATTGTCCTGTCTGCCATGTGGACAATGTTTCTACAATTTCTAGAACCTTCCTCTGGATGTTTCAGCCTAGAGGGTCACTCAAGTGACATACATGTGTTGTAGAAATGATGGAGATTCTTCTTGCTTTTTTATCCTTTTTTTCTGGGACGAGGACTTGAACTCTGGGCCCCAGGTCCACTTTCACTAAGTTTTTATGCTCAAGGCTAGGGCTCTATCACTTTGAGCCCCAGCACCACTTCCAGCTTTTTGGTCATTAAGTGGAGCTAAGAGTCTCATGGGATTTGCCTTCCCTGGACTGGCTTTGAACTGGGATCCTCAGATCTCAGCCTCCTGAGTAGTTAGGATGACAGGTGTGAGCCCGTAGCACCTGGCTTCTTTAAACACCGCATCTTGCTTTTCCTTCTGAATTCTGTAAGTGAGGCATCATGGGTACTGTCTTTGCTCACTGCCCTTAGACCATCTCATTTCTTGCCCACTATGATAGACACAGGAGAAGCCGTGCACCCCTCCTGGTGCACTTGGCTCTCTGAGCTAGCTAGGCATTACTAAGTTGCATGCAGACAGTGGGGCTTACTCGGCTCTGATCGGGGTGAGGAAGCACTTCTGGAGGGCTAGATCCAGATAGACTCTAGAGGGAAAAAAAATCAAAGCCATCATCTTGAACCCACAGGTGTGACTTCTTTTGGAGGATACCTGGAGAGCCAGGGCTCTGGAGGCTGAGTGATATCCCTAGAGAGATGCCATCCATGTGAAAGCAACCCAGAGACTTAGCCTGGCCTATGCTTGTCCCCAGACTCATACAGAGCCTGGCCCTCTGTGGACCGATGGCTCCCAGTTGGTATTTTTCTTTGAGCTTCCCCCTGGTGCTTGTGTGTCTAACCTAAACTCTCATTCTCAGAGAATGAGAGGGGGACCCTCTAGCTGCTTGGCCCGGGGAGGGAGGAAGTGGGGGGCTGAATGGCAGCAGGTCCATGAGGGCACCAGACCAGGATCACCTGTGCCAGACCAAAGTGATCCCCCAGATGCTCTTTGAATGGAAGAAAGGATAGTGTTCCGAAGTCTCAGGCGCATCCTTAGAGATAAGGGCCCAGAGTAATTGTCCTCAAGAGGCTTTTGTATGAAAAGGACAAACAACATGACACTCGGGGACCCTGCTCCCAAGGGGATGGGGGTGGGGGAGCTACTGTCATTCCTCCTCGGTTCATGAATATTGTTACTATTAAAAACCACTCCTTTTTGGGTCCTGAACTTTTACCAAACAGGGCTGCAGAGTCATTGCTGAAAAAAAAAAATGGTTTCCTATTCTTTTTTGTTGTTATTCTACAGGTCCTGGGGCTTCAACTCAAGACCCAGGCCCCATTCCTTCGCTTTTTTTTTTGTTCAAGTCTAGTGCTCTACCACTTGAGCCACACCTCCACGTCTGGCTTTTTTTTTTTGGCAGTTCATTGGAGGTAAGAATCTCACGGGCTTTCCTGCCCCTGACTTTAGAACAGGAAATCCTCAGTTCTCAGCCTCCTGAGTAGCTAAAATGATAGACATGAGCCATTGGTGCCCAATGCGCTTAATCTCCCTTTTCTTACTTCTCTTTTTACTTTCCTCTTTCCCCTCCCTCCCTCTCTCCCTCCTGTATTCCTTTCTTTCTGGATTTATAAAAAGCCAGCTTATAGTTATGTGTACCAGTTTTCCCGCTTTGAAAATGAGACAAGTGTTATTTTATGATCTCTTCCATAGAGGTGAAGATTCGTGAGATTCGTGATTAGGATGCTGTTTACCAGAGTTTACACGTGGTACAGGCTCTTCAATGTCTTCATCTTTCAGAAAGAAACAAGTCAGGTTGTGCTCAGGCATCTTCAAAGTCCAAGGGGGAGGCAGAGAGCTGTTTAAAGCATTCTTAACTCTGTGTCTGTGTGTGTGCACGTGCGTGCGTGCCCACATGAACGCGCACACACATGCCCATAAAGGAAGTGAATCTTTTCTAAATGCATTAAAATGGCCAGTAAGAGCCAGTTAATACCTGATAATTGACTCTGTTCTCTGGTGTCCAAATTTTGATCGATGAGCCTGTTGTTTAAGTTTTCAACTCCATTTCACAACTCTGGTTATTTATTTGTTCGGCATAGCTGGCGTTCCTGACAGTCTGTACGACCCAGAAGAGACAGGATTTGTGCCCTCCTCTCTCTCTCCCCCTCCCCACTCCCCAGAGACTGTAGTGTTAAGTGTGAGAGAGAATAAAAGGCAGAGAATGGAATGTATCACTTACCAGGCTCAATCCAATAAAAATCATACGCTAACCAAAAAGCCAAACTCTGGATAGACAGATACTCCCCCAAAAAACAGAAGACAAGGGACCCCAGAATGAGGCAGAGGATGAGAAATAGGTTTTTTACTTTATAAGAAACTGATCAACACATGCCACAGACTGACCTGTGCCTTCCAGTATGCAGACATGGTGTGTGTTCCCACACATATGAATACTGGCCATGCAGATTTAAGTCTCTATAAGGAGATTTCCAGCCTTGGTCTGGGAAAATGTCACATGCTCTGATTCAAGGAAATCACTGGATCCTCAGGTCCCCCATTGGTCTTGTAGCTGTGTGCCAGCCTCCTAGCATGGCTGGAGAAATCGTAGTTATAACACACGCCACATTCTTGTCAGGCACTGGGGCTGGGGAAGGGGAAAGACATTCAAAATGGGCAAACCATGAGCCTGGTGTTGATGGCTCTCACCTGTAATCCTAGCTATTTAGAGCCAGGATCTGAGGATCATGGCTCAAAGCCAGCCAGCCCAAGGATGCAAAGCCTGTGAGACTCTTATCTCCAATTAACCACCAAAAAGCTGAAAGTGGAGATGTGGCTCAGGTGTAGAGCACCAGCCATGATCAAAAAAGCTAAAGGAGTGTGTTCAGGCCCTGATTTCAAGCCCTTGTAAACCCACCCCTCCCTGCACATATGTGTGCACACGT